GGTTGCGAAAAGAATGTCAGGGTGATGAGAGTATTGATGAGCAACTGTATTTGTTGGCTAGGCAGCCATCGTGGCATATCCTCACATACAAAGGGTACGAGATAAATGGGAATATATTTTACACAGTAGCCCAAGATAAAAGGAGCACCAACCAAAACAGTGGTGTCCGCATAGATGCCACCGACCCTAATGGAAATAAGCAAACATATTATGGCCACATAGAGGAGATATGGGAACTAAACTATGCACCTACTTTTAAGGTACCTTTGTTCAAGTGCCAATGGGTAAAGGCGACTGGAGGCGGGGTAGCAGTCGACAACCAGTATGGAATGACAACCGTGGACCTCAACAATATTGGGTACAAAGACGAACCGTTCGTCCTTGCCAAGGATGTGAATCAGGTGTTTTATGTCAAAGACATGTCTACAAAACCAAAGAGAGGGAAAAACAACAACGACCCAATCTATGAGCCAAAGCGCCACATAGTTCTTTCAGGGAAAAGAAACATCGTCGGAATTGAAGACAAGTCAGACATATTAGAAGATTATGAAAAGGATGACCGAATTCCACCCTTCACAGTGAACAAAGACCCAAGCATCCACCTAAATGATGAGGACACTCCTTGGTTACGACGCGATCATAACCAAGGGATATACGTTAAGAAGAAGTTCACTACTATGCCTATTTTATATATTTAGTGATGTATTAGACCTATTATGTAATAATTGTGACTTCAGATTTTTTTGTCGTGTTTTCATATTTTCTACGGTTTAAATGAATTTTCTGCTAGACGGTGGATTTTCCGTGGAGAATGTGTGATGAAAAACCAAATGATCAACGTTAATAAGATGTGAAAACTAATTTCCTATCGAAAAGCAATAGTTCTAATGATTTTAATTAAGTAGTATATTTTTGCATGGTGCAAATTGTAATTATTATTTACACTATGTCAAATATTCATACAGTAAAACAAAAGATTTTATGTTACAATTTTTTGTTGTGTATAATAATGCAAAACCAAGTCTAGGATTTTTTTATAATTTTTTTGGTAATATTTTATTTATTAGGCAATTAATAACTCTATGCATTTTTATATAAAAGAAATATATAAAAAAGGAAAAACTTATGGAAACCGAAGAAAGCCAACTGCAGACCACCTTTACTCCCGGGCCTAAAATGCCCTTTACTCCCGGACCATGGCTACACCCGGAACTAAATGTGGGCTGCGTTTTCGCAGCCCGCCAAAATGACCTTTACTCTCGGGCCGTGGCTACACCCGGGACTAAAGATCAGACCTTTAGTCCCGGTTTTAATCATCACCCGAGACTAAAGGGTCTTTAGTCCCGGTTCGTAGCGGCAACCGGGACTAAAGGACTCCCTTTATAAAACATCTCTGACTCCGCCAAGCCTCATCTTCTCCACCAGATTGATCCAGCAGCACCGCCGCCCCCAGGCCACCCTAGCCTCGCCTCATGTGCGCACGCTGTCACCGGTCGGCCAGCGCACGCCTTGCGTCGTCCTCGTCCCCGGTCCACCTCGCCCCCAAGCAGTCTTCTCCAAGATCCGCAGCAGGCCACAGCTACGGCACGTCTTCTCCAGGTTTGGCCCGGTCTCCCTCTTCCTCTGCACTTCCCTTGATGATGCCGTCATTAGAGTTCCAACGACGATGGAGATCGCCGGGCTAGGTTGGGGCGGGGCGCCCATGGCCTTGGCGGCGGCGGGAGCGGGAGGGGAAGAAGGAGGCCGCCGCCGTGGCCATGGAGCTCCGGCATGACAAATCATTTAATTAAAAGCTCTACTAGATGATCATGTTTATTAGAATTATGATTTTATACATTTGTACATACTTGTTGCAAATGAGCTTTTGTATGAATCTAGAATCTGGGCAGGAGCTAGCTTTGATCTGGTAGGAGTTATGGCTGATATCATGAGCTTTTGCAATTTCTACAAGTCATAAAAAAAGATGCTTCTGTATGAATCTAGAATCTGTGCATGATCTTTGAAGTTTGGATTGGAACCTGAGTGGTAGAAACTTTTTGCGACAAAATCTCTATGCTGATGAGAGCGGCATTGACAATGGAAGCATTTTTGAAGATATAGTGAGATGCTTGCTTTTGCATTTGTTTTGTACATTTTGCTGTTATAAACAATAGTCTGCTGATTTCCATTAGTATCAATTTGGCTCATCAATTTGGTGCATACTTCTATAACATATTTTTTTAGTAAAGTCGAAGTCTCTAACATGTTTTTTTGGCTGCAGGAGCTGGACCTCGCGTTTGACACCTTGGATGTGAGCCACCGCCGCTGCCATATATAATCCGTTTATGATGGATTATTTGCTCCAACCTTTTGTAATCGGATGGATGCGTGTGCCGAGCCCTCGTGCCGGCAATCTTGTAATGCGATTTTGCGCTGAGCCATCGAGCTCAGTGGAGCACGGGCGTGCCCGGTGTCTCGTCGTTTCCTCCTTTTTGCGCGGTAGCTTATGACGACTAGTTAGAAAATTGTAGAAAATCCGTACTAGTTGAACTTGCGGACCGTGTTCATCTCAGCGAGCATGTTCTCTGCCGAGTGGTAACGGACGTCAAGGAGGAGCTTTGATTCTACGAGGGAGAGCGGCAATGGTCGTGGAAGACCGTGTTCCCTTCCTCGTAGAATCGGAGCTCTTCCGTGGCCAAGTATGGTGTCGTCCGGTGGAGAAATGCTCGCCGAGATGATCACGTAAGCAAGGTCAACTAGTACGGATGGTTATTTATTCACACGTACCCAAACGTAGTATATATATAAATATAAACGATAATCAATTGTTATGTGTGTACACTCCCATTCTTCTGTTAATTTACGGAAATATCATGTGAATTACTTACCTGCCGCAGTAAAAGACGAGAACACAATGACCATGGCCACGGCCATGAAAAATGCCAACGACACAACACTAGCAACTTTCTCGATAAGCAGAGTAGTGTTAAACGCTCTGGAAACCTTTAAACTTTGTCAGTTAAGATTTCCCCTTCAAATAAGCTAGGCACTTAAATAAGGCTTATGCTAGATTCTACCACTAGTACAGATACAGAAATGATTTTTACAAATGTTACTATCCTTGAGGTGGCACGTCTTGCAGGAGTTCATTTTATAGATATAGTTTTTATTTTTTTTATAGATATATCTGGTGGTGTAAAAGCTAGATGGCTGCCCCGAGAGACAAGGATGAAGAAAGGATGAATATTATCAACACCGGCACTCAATTTGTCGATGGTGGCCAGCAGGATGTAGATGACGGGAGTCAATACCTGGCTCTTGAAGATAACCAAGAAAATATTATGCAAGAAAATACAGGTGAGGTATATATACCTGGCTCATCTAATCCAGTTATTCCCCAAAAACTGTCTTTCGAGAAAAGTGAAAAGGAATTAAAAGCTGTAGTAAAAAAAGATGTGGACACTTTCTTCGAAAAAGTAAAAAAGCAATGAGAACAGAGGGAGAACCCAGAGATATCATACTTCTACCTACCTCCAGATCTTCTAAGAAGGAAGGTGGACCAGAAAAAGCGGGAATCTCAAAAGACCCGGCCAAAATCGGACTACGACCGCTCTCTCACCAAGTCATTTGAGGCGGCGCAGAAAAAGACTAGACCAGGGAAAGGTGTTGCACAACTCGGACAACAATTGCAACAATCAGTCCCCCCCTCTTGTTGTTCGTAATGAATATGGTTCGAACTTAGACTTAGACGTCGATTTTGAGGAGCTGGCTCGGTTTTACGAGGAAACTGGTTTGGACCTTGCCTAAGTGCTCGCTGAAGGACCATCTGCTCCGAAAGTAGATCCTTGGAAGAAATTTGAACGTGGAAAGAGTCTATACAACCCTAAGGCCTTAGGTGAATTGGGTATGTAAATGTACCTGCTAAACAAGTGGTACATGGCGGCATATGAACGGGGAGAGGCCTTTGTTACTGTCAGAGTTAGAAACCAACATTACTTCCGTGGCGATGACGTTATATATGTCGAGTTTGAAGAATTACACCAACCATGCCACCTGGACTCTCTCTACAAAAGTCTCATTAGCTGCTATTGTTTGTAAGTGTGATTATTTTCTACTATTAAAGTGTGTATATATAAAGCTACATGTATATATATACATTATATATCCTCACACTATATTTTTATATATGCAGATATGAGATGACAGAACTCAGAAAGAGAAAGGATAATGATGTTGGTTTCGTTGATTCAAATGTCGTATTCAAACACCCTAATCCCTCGCCTCAATGGAAAGCTGAACTCGAGAAAAATCTCATGAGGTTCTTAGTGAACCAACAAAACAAGGACATACTCTTCCCCTACAACTTCAAGTGAGTGTTAAATAATTAATGTCGATCATATGGACATTTGTTCAATTATTTGCTTACTAGCTAAACTGTCTCCCATATATATACATATATGTTGACTCTAGTTAATGTCGATCATATTTGTGTATAAAAACATATGCAGCAATCACTGGATATTGATGGTCGTCGATATGGCCAATAGTCGGTTGAGAATCTTAGACTCGTTAAAAAAAGAGCAAACAGAGTACCAAGACATGATAGATATTATCCAAGGGTGCGTTGGCCGTGATCATCCGGCCGCCATGATGCGTTGGCCGTGATCATCCGGCCGCCACACACACAGAATCGCCGTGATCCACCCTCGAGTTCTAGGGCTCTAACCGCTAGGACTGGATATAACCCCATCCCTGTGCTATATAAGGTGGGCCAGGATGCTCCCTTGCATGGTTTCACGACACGACCACCACACATATGCTATCAAAATGTGCAGATATATTGGACCATCAAAAAGGAAAAAAACAAATATCGATAGTCGATGATTGCTGTACAAACCGCATATCACTAATATCTTGTATGATAGTATATATCGCTTCGCTGCTCTTAATAGTTTATTACACCGCCCAACCTCACACATATGCTTTCACGACTTCTACCTGTGCCTGGTACCGCGCCTGGCTCACTTGGGACGCGCGCCTGCCTCTTTGCCGCTGCCGGAAGTAGTGGTCTCCGGCTTGTACTTGTCGATCATTTTTTCGAATTCCTGCAAAATCACGGTTGCATATCGAACGTACATTGTTGAGTAATTAATTCAAACCGGACATGCCCATACTGTACGTACAAAGGTATGCACAATCGCCCACCTTCAACATTGCGCCCTTCATGAATTCGAAGTGACTGTCCTTAAACTGTTGCTCAACGCCTGCGTAATGATCCAACTCTGTGAAGATGTGCTGGTGCAGCTGTGTGACGGCAGGGTGCTTAGGCTTGATGTCGTTGTCCCGGGTGGTGCTGGGTGGCGCCGGGGGTGGTGGCGACTTGTTGCCCCTAGACGATGAAGAGGAGGAGGCCCCCGCCCCGTCTTCCTGGACAGGCGGCTGCTGCTTATAATTCCTTGCCTTTTCCACCATTTTCCCCATGTCTGGCGTCAGGAACGGGGGGGTTGCTGGTGCCGGCGGTGGCAGTGGCAGGCCCGTGGTGGCACGCTGCATCTGGTAGCTCGACACCCACGAGTAGATGCAGCTCAACCCCGAGGAGACCCCCTCTTTCTGCAGGCACTTCGCCATCGCCTCCATGTCATCGTCGATCCTCCGCAGGTCGTCGATGAGGTCACTCATCTCCTGGGCCACCTCCAGATAATTTCGTGTCTTCTTTCGCTCCTCTTCCCACTTCCTCCGCAGCAGGCCTCCCACCTCCTCCTTCTTCTTCGTCATCGAGTATTCCTCTGCAAAGCTGGCCAGCATTTCCAGCACCTCCAACATGATCATCCTTTGCAGGACCATGGAATTAGGAAGCGATTGTTTCAACTTCCCGTACGCTGTCCTGGCAGCCTCATTACTGGTTCCCGTGACTAGGAGCGGCAGGTTGCATTCGGCGGTAAGAGTAGTAGTACTAGCAGCAGCAGCTGCTGCTGCCTCTGCCTGGTTGTGTGAACTAGCAGAACTATCCTCATACTCCACGGTAGCAGTAAGAGTAGCTGATCGGGTTCGTGAACTAATGGGGTTGGTTCTAAAATTAATCTGGACGATCAAGTCCTTCACCTCACCAGCGTAGAGGACGCCGACAGCAAAACCTTCCTTCGTCTTGGTGATAAAGTCGTGGGCCCCCTGTTGGATCTTCATGTTGATGCTTTTATTGTTCACATTGTTCTCGTTTGGGTTTGGGTCGTCGAGCTTTACCCTGATTTTGACGCGCGTGTTGATGGCCACAACACTCTTGAGCCCGCCTAAGCACAAGGCCACGGCTTCCATCAGCTTGCTGCTGTTGTTGAGATTATTCTGATTCTCCGCATGCGCAGGCGCAATGGAGGAGTAGGTTCCTCTGGATGTTTCGGCGATACGATGCAGCATCCCTGGGTCATGATTCATTCCCAAGCCGAAGGCGTGCACCGGGTACTTGCGACGGAGGTTTTTGACATCAGACTCGTCAAACAGAAGCTTGTTCTGTCGTCCATCCGACAGGAGAAGGATGAAGCCAACACGCTTCACGCCACCAGGACTTTGTTCACTCGTACTGTCCAGGATCTGTATCCGTTACAATTAACACACGTTATTTAAAATGTATCTGTCCATTTTTGTTTATATTATATATTAGCGAAGGTGCTAATCATTATTGAGAATAATAGACATGTAACCTATTCTATTCCCAAAAAAAATATTATGAAAACGGTATAAGGGTGACCCCTAAATCTGCATCTCAATCACCTATCTCTACCATTATGAAATACAATCTAAAGTAAGCCTCTAAATTTACATGTCAATTATTCGCTAATGCCATTTATGACAGGTAATTTGAGTATCTCCTTCAATTTGTATCTAACAAAGCAACCACCTTTGTCAACACCAAAATAAACTGAAAAAATCCTCGACATCTAAAGTCATATATACTCCATCGGTCTTGAATGACAATCGCAATTGACTAGAGGAAATGTCAATTATGACGTGAGATTTTAACCTTTAATTTCTCTTATAATATATATAGTCAATTGCTAAAAGATCAATATTATTTTAGAGGCACTTTAAACACAGATGTATTGGTGCAAGTTGTATGCTCTATACCTGCATATAATTTGACTAACTGTTGATCAAAATTTCTAAAGTTCGACCTTTTCTCTAGTCAAATATGATTATCATCCTTATAAGGGAACTCTTAACAATGTTCAATGTACACTAAGGACGAAGCCTCTTACCTGAACGGCGCTCCCACTGGTCTAAGCTCAGTTCGAGTCTTGTCCACGACATTTTCCTGGTTTCCCTGGGCATCAAATATCCAATCATCAATGGACATGGACATCGTCTGATCATGGAATGCGCAAATGTACACTAAGGACGAAGCCTCTTACCTGAACGGCGTGTACCCGCTTTCTAGCTTCGGCTATCCAATTATCAATGGTCGTCTCCGTCTGAACATTGAATGCATCAACGACGTCAATCAGGCCTTTTGCCGCGTCCTCTCTACAGACCACTCCTCTCATGAACTCCATCGTCTTCAGCAGATCCAGTAACCTAATTGGTCCTGCTGCCAGCTGCTGGCCCGTTGTACCCCAGACATCTAGCACCACAACTAGGTGTATGGGGGTTGCATTGCTACCATGTTCCGATGGTGGCGCTTTTACACGAACCATTGCTATGAATTTTGAGTCGGTCGTCGTCCTCTGGCCTGATTTGACTAGGACCCAGGGCAAATAGAGCGAACCACTTACTTTGACCTGCATGCATGTGAAATTAATAATAATTAGCTTTACCCGGAACATCGAGATCGCCATCATATATCTAGCTCGGTATCAAGTACTCTAGTTTTCTTTGGATAGATGTACAGGTAGTGTTAGCTTCTATTAGTAGTTGTAGCAAGCAGTGGCAGTAGGAATAGTTTATATATATAGCATTCTTGAAAATTTAATTGTCTTGTGTTTTCTTTATATTCAGCATGTTCGCTTGTTGGTTTCAGCCAGGGCTTATCAGCCATGATACAGTGTTTTCCTCTAACAACAAACTAGTGCCAGCCGGGCTTATCAGCCTAGAAACCAACCAGCGAACAGGCTGATTATGTAGCATTGTGCAAATTAAGTTTAATTTGTGAAATTTGCAGGAATTAACACACATATGGAGTACACATCCACCCTCCTTGGTGAAACTAGCTAGTGGTATCCCAAGAACACCTAGTACTCTTTATTTTTGCTACTACAAAGATGATTATTATCAGCCGTAGCCTCTCAAAATCAAGTGACTGCACATGTATTTGTATAATTTTCAAGTATCATGGTGTGATAAAAATTTCAAATGCTAGAGCGCTGCTTCTTTTTTTTGTTAGCACATAGATGATTAAGAGCTAGCCGTAGCCTTGAAAAATGGGATGTTAATTTAAATCTTTGTTACATATTCAATACTGAACTTGAATTACAAACTAATTCCAACTAGGAACACAAACTTTCACATTGTAAACGGCGTCGCCTGAACTTTCCATGCTACATATATAGTAGATGTCTCCTGAGTAAGTGATTGTTTAGGTTGATTAATGAGGATGAGGTTTGGCAAAACCTTCTAAGAAGGAAATACCTGTCTAATAACCTTCTATCTCAGGTGCAACATAGGCTTGGGGATTCGCATTTCTGGGCCAGCCTTATGAAGGCAAAGGATGATTTTCTAGCTTGTGACACTTTTAAGGTGCATTATGAGGAGCATGTGCGGTTTTGGAAGGATGTGTGGTTAGGCGATAAACCTTTCAAAGTGAGGTTTACCTTTGCTTATTTAGAATTGTGAGGCGCAAGGATGATACGGTGGCAAATGTCCTTGGGACTGTACCACTAAATGTGTCCTTTAGGCGTGGTTTGGTTAATGCAAACCAGATCGCTTGGTTTGACCTAGTGTCAAAAGTAGTACAAGTCCACCTCACAAATGGGAAAGATGTTTTTCGATGGAACCTTACTAAGAATGGCATGTTCACAGTCCGTCCACGTATACAACTTTGATCCGTCAGTATGCTCTCCCGGCAAAAGTCCTCTCTGAAACTAAAAGTGCCACTAAAATTAAGATTTTCATGTGGTCTTTAAAAGGGTAACTCTTATGAAAGATAATTTAGCAAAGAGGAACTGACAATGAAGCGTCAAATGGTGTTTCAGTAGTTCTGTTGAAACTATCCAACATTTGTTCTTTGGTTGTCACTTGGCAAGCTTTGTATGGAATATCGTGCACATCACTTTTGGAATTCAACTACCTACTAGCTTTGCTAATTTGTTTGGTTCTTGCACTACTACAAAATTGACTTTCAGTACCGGCAACATTAGTGCTGGTTTCCGCGAACCGCAATGAAGGGTTATCACTGCCGGTTCGAGCTTCAAAATCGAAAAAGTTTGGGGATCACAGAAAACTGGCAAGTGAAAGTTCATATCACTTTGCCGGTTTGTGGCTAGAACCGACAAGAAATAGATCAGGATGTATCACCGCCGGTTCTAGCCACGAACCGACACTCGATGTAGTGCTATCGGTGGTAGTTTTTGGTTTAAGCCGGCAGTGATAAACCCAAGTACAAAAGCTGTCGCCTCTTCTCCTCCTCTCTCCCATCCCACCACACTCACTCGGGGGCGCTGCTTTTCCCACTCCTCCATTGTTGCAGCCATTCTTCACCAAAATGCTCAATGAAGCTCTTGGATTTTTGAGCATGGGCATGATCTTCTTGCTTTAAGGTTAGTAATAAGCATCCACTCCCTTGAATTTGTAGCTTTATAGTTGTTTTGATGGCTAGATTGCTTGATTCTCATTCAAGTTGTTTCTCTTTCCAATTGGATTATGAGGAAGGCATCCAAATTGTGGTGAATCGATCTTTCAAAAGGTTGGTGTCTACGAGACTATTTTAGTTCCCAGCTAATTACATAGTGGTTTTGATGATTGTTATTAGTATGATTGGAGTAGAGTAGATTTTTCCAATAGGGCTGCCAATTTCCATTTTTTGAGCAAATCAATGCGACACCTACCAACCCATTGTTTTGAGCTATATTGTTGTTCATGATTAAGTATCCAATTTTAATTTTATTTGTAATTAGTGTGTTCATTTTTATGTGGCATGAAGTAGAATAATTGTTCTTGATGAGTGTAAAATAATTGTTTTGTTGTGGGGCTACGATTTTCCATTTTTATGGGGCTACCAATTTTATTTTTTCAATAATTAGTGCAGAATAATTGTTTTTTTTCAAAATGGGGCGCCAAATTAAATTAATTTAGAATGAATTGTAGTTTTGAGCTATGATGACTCTCCCCATTTTATGTGGCATGAAGTCTAAATATTTTTCTGTGCATAGATGAATCGAGGGTGGATGTACGGTGTGGCTGCTACGGACGAGCGGTACTTGATGGGCGTCGCCAACTTCATTACTGCTGCGAAAGCTAATGCCGGGGAGGGACAACTTGTATTCTGCCCATGCAAAGATTGCAAAAATAAAAGAAAATGGGGTCGCTCGGAGTGTATACGAATGCACTTGATTCCTAGGAGGTTCATGAGAGACTACATGATATGGAGTATGCATGGAAAGGTCGGTGACAATGTTCCGCCAGAAATCAATGATGATGTGGCCATGCCTAACGTAGCCCTACACGAGGTCACGTTACTAACGCCGAAACCGTGTCAACACACAACCTATGGCTACCGTTAATGATGTGTTTAGGAATACATTAGTGATTTACACCGAGAAAAACGATGGCATTTCTCAGCTACTACATGATGTAAAGGGCGATGCCTTAGTGATACACAGCTTGAGAAAGCTAGAGATAATGAGAAAGGATGGGAAAACACCATTATATCCGAGTTGTCCAACAAAGAAACTGGAAGCCGACATCATGCTATTAGAGTTTAAATTTACACACGGATTGAGCGATAAAGGCTTCATGACTTGTTAGGTATAGTTAGGAAACCGCTTCTGCATCAGTAACGTGTTGCCAGAAAAGACATATCTGGCCAAGCAAATGATTTGCCCAATCAGCCTCAAGGTTGAAAAAATCCATGTGTGTAGCAATGATAGGCGGCTGAAGGAAATTGAAGAAAAAATTGAGCAAAAGCTTGATGCCACTGTTGCAGCACGAGTTGATGAAGTTCTTGCGTCCGTGGGATTGGCACAAGCGCACTTCGTTCCGACTAGCATGAGCCCATTGCTCAAGGGTCGCAGTAGCTGCGGATCGACCCCATTGCTCGATGAAGAAGAGGCAAATGCACTTCATCCATTGGTCAACATCACCGAAGCCGTTAATGTTAGGCTGTACATCAGCCATCAATGGACAACTGACAAGGTAGCGGTTGACTAGGCCTTCCCAAGAGGGGATGGGATCCTTCATGGCCACGCAATTCCACCGGGGTACGCCAGGGTCAGCATTGATAAGATCATTGATAAGAAGTACAACAACATACACATTGATTACCCCGTAGAGGCAGACAGGCTGCGTCTTATTCAGAACAAGGGCACTCATGTGGCTTGGTGGAAACGCTTCGTTAAGCTTGATGAGCAACCGTCTTTGGATGATGAGGACAACGACAAATCTCCACCTCATAAGGCACCAACACCGCCCAGAGATCAGCCGCCTCCATCTCCCCCCAAAGGTCATGACTCTCCTACGCCTCAGCATCCTCGTTCTCCCCCTCCATCACCCCCGCCGCCCAGAGATTAGCTGCCTCCATCTCTCCCTAGAGGTCATGACTCTCTTACGCCTCAGCATCCTCGTTCTCCCACTCCATCACCCCCGAGAAAAGAGAATTCCCCTGCTCCTGCTAGTCCTCCCCAACAAAGATCTCACCAAGTGGCATCTCGAACCAACACAAGAGCAGGGTTAGCCTCGCAGAAAAAGGTCATCTAGTTCGGTAGCTCATGCTCCCAAAACGCATTAAAAAAGAAGAAGATGGTGGACGGGAGCATTACGGGATTGATGAAGAATAGTGACAAACCGGCAAAGCTTGACTGTAGGGAGGATCGCACCAAATTCTTTAAAAGAATAGCCTTGTTACCTAGGTGGATGTCGATCACCGATATCGATAGGCAAGACAGTAGCGAGCATAATAAACAAAGAGTCATGGATGAGCACACTCGTGATAGGATACAAATATAGCAGCGAGACGAAACTATGGACATAAGCATGGAGGATGCTGAGCTAATCTATTCGAATGAAAAAGAATGTGCGAAGGCAGAGATCGCATACAAGTATTCACTTGGCAAAAGTTTGATGGCAAGTGATGACGATGTCAATGATTTGCCAACAAATATGCGGCAACTGCATGATTATTACATGTTTAATAGCCGGGGTAAATGCTGGTTTCGAGCTCTTATCCGCCCGGAGTGGTGTTCAATTATCCTGATGAAACACTACATCATGTTGAGTATGATCATTTGTTTCAGCTCTTCCAGAGGCACGACCTTGATAACCAAATAATGATGTTGTGGACTTTGTAAGTACCCTACCCGTACGCTATTATAATAAACTATGTGTTCAACATTTGAACATATGCCATGCTTTAATTATGTAGGTGGTTGGGAGCTTATTGCGTAAAAAATAAATACAATCATTAAGGCTTCTTGGACCCCGTTCTAGTAAACCAGAAAACATGCCGAGGCGATCAAGGATATGACAAGGTACATCTGGTAGAAAGGATGAGGGGATTTTTTTCCAAGATTTCTTGGAACAAAGAAAGACGAACATACTCCTAGCCTACAACTGCGAGGATGTGTTCTCGGGACTTATTTTTGTGCTTCCTATTGTTTTTGGTATATTTGCATTAACTAAGACTTTGTGA